AAAAGAGGAGTTGGAAGAGAAAGAAAAAGAATAATTTATGTGACAGCAAGTTCTTTCAGAAACGCAAGCCATAAAACTACCCGAAAATCTTCAAGGGTTATCGTGCGGGATCATTCGGGAAAGTGCCTATCCCATTACTATTTGACCGGCAATGGAACAGACTAATTGCCGAGTGATTTTAGTTATTGAATTGGCCCCTGAACTAACTTAGTCGTGTAATATCATGGCTTATAATCCATCAAATGTTTTCGCTCGCGCGCGATCGGTCTAAACATGTTACGTGACCGAATATTCCCCAGCTAAAACTGGGGAATATCCGAAGATATTCCCAAATTTTCAAAACTGCGCGTGAAGGGTAATATTTTAAGGGTAATAAACACAATAGAGTCCATATGGCGCGAAAATATGCTCAGATATTTGTCCTTGGACATTATCTGTTCCTCAAAGCTCATAGGTTTCCTCGAGTTACGCTCTCGGAAAACTGTTCGCTTCTCGGAATACATAATGTCCGCGGACAAATATCCTAGCATACTTTCGTGTCCAATTGAGGCTATTGTTTATTTATCCACTTGTCAGTTGTGCTTTCTTGGTCTAAAAACATACCCCCTCAGTTAAGAAATTACCATGGTATACCACTCGAAAACATTATATAACTAGTATGTATGTCTTTGTCTTCTACAAGTATTACGAATTGCCTCAATACTTGGCTCTCTACTCGTTAAAAATATATGATTTATTGTTCTCAGTGTTCGTCTTGTTTAGTTTATTGTAGCATGTGGTCTGTGTTGTTGCTAGTCTTAGTTACCAATTTAGCAATCAGACTACTCGCCCTAGTTTTCTATGAGCGAACAGTCAACGAGTCGTATTCGAGTTGATTATCACTCAGAGAAAACGAGGGCAAGTAGTCTAATTGTAAGAGCAGCGCGCAGGCGGAAAACGATGTGAGAGCGGATTAGATTCGCGGATTTACAATAGAACACAACAGAGTGACTAATAATGACACGTTAGATGATAGAAAAATATTGGACACTGAACTTCAACTGGAGATGAACATGAGAATATACTGTAAATTTTTTAGTTCCAGTAGTATTAGTAGTTCGTATAGTGTGATCGTCTGGGTGAGGGAAGTTCTGAAAAGAATTGTTGCTGGTGACTGACATTTCGACAACCTGAGGGAAAGTGAATAGCGTTTGTCAGTCGATGATGTTATAAGTCTGGTCCGTTGAAAGTAATTGGTCAGTTTAGCAATGGTGTTATTGGCTGTAAGACTCGTGTAAAGTTTGACAGCAGTTATTGGTCGGTTCTAGTAAGTTTCCATCCTTCTATTGTTAGCCAAATGAAGTCGGCCTGTTAGAGGTCCGTTTGTCGGTTTTGTTTATGTCGTGAATAAGTTGTTTGTACGGTGCCGGCAGTTGTTGATATCTGTTAGGAGGCGTTTGTTCTAAGTTAGAGTACCAGCTGAATATGTTCTAAAAAATAAACCCGCCAGTGCTCGTGACATTCCTCAAAGTGTTACTTCGATATCTTTTACAGTGGATGGAGGTTACGGCAAGTGGGGATCTTGGAGCGACTGTTCTATTACATGCGGAAAGACGAAGGGCAAGAGGACACGCGATAGATTGTGCAATAACCCAGCGCCTCAGAATGGCGGTAAAACCTGTTCAGAACTCGGACAAGACAGCCAGACAAAGACGTGTACACCACCGATAAAGAAATGTCCAGGTAATTATAAACAAATAAAAATTTACGCTTTTCATTACAGATTTATAATAATAATCAATCTATATTTGCACTCACTCTTGCTAAAGAAAAAATTACAATTTAAATGAAAATATTTAGATGGGATAGATTGGGTAGATTGGGTGGTTAGCCACCCCCCTTTTGGAAGAGCAAAACATAAAAAAAGATTGAAAAAAGGTTATGGATATTATGACAGAAAAAAAGGAAAACTCTCTTGACAGGTACCTCATTGTAATTTCTACAACGTAGCATTGCTAGTATTTCTACTAAAACGGTTTTCAATTAGGTTCCAATTTTTAAGTCTGTGTTTTAAGATTTGCCACACAAACAAAAATAGAATTACAATTCAATGATTAATACATTACAAAATTTAATATGCAAGATTACAATGAAGATACAAACTACAAATTATATATTAAAGGAGTGAAAAAAAATTGCGAAGGAACCAAATAAAAACCGCGGGGCTTGTAAGCTTAGGTTACCACTCAACAAACACCAGATGACTAATTTAGATAAAGTAATTTAATGACAAGCCTTATTTAATGACAGAGTTAATAGTTACCGACAATATATGTTTAAAGTTTTTTCCTCAAAGATGCCAGTTATGAGAAGCCAGAAATTTCAGGTGAAAGAGAATTAAAGAATTTAGGACCTCTATAAAAATACGGAGAATTGAGGATATTTGTTCTACATAATAGTAGACGAAAGGAGTTTGCATGCCCTGTATTGAACAATTATGGATTTGGTTGTTTATTGTGAATATGTTATCACATTTACGAGGGAGAATAGCGTTTTCAAACGGAAAAATAAACTGACTTAGCTGCATGAAATGAATGTCTTGAAATTTAAGCAAGTTGAGCTCCTTAAAAATAGGTCCTGTATGAGCATCATAATAGGACTTGTCCACCATCCTAATCACACGTTTTTGCAAAATTACAATTCTTTGAAGGTTAGTTTTACAAGTTGATCTTTAGAATAGATTACAACAATTAAGGTATGGAAGTAACATTGAGTTATATAGCATGCGAAGAGCAGGTGTTGAAAAATAAAATCTAAAGATGAGATCTAAAAATTATACCTATGGATTTAGATATTTTATCCGCTAGGCTAGATATATGAGACTTCCAAGCTAAGTTTTCAACTAAAACTACCCCACAAAAGGCTGTTTCATTGACCTGTGCAATTGTTTTCTCATTCAGTTAAAAACATTTCCTATTAATTCTGCTTCCCTAAGGTATCAGCCAGCCCCTCCCCCTACCCCCCTTGAAAAATCCTGGATTCGCCCCTGCATTAATTACTAACTTCCTGATACATTCTACTATAGTTTATCCCCTGCTAGGACAAATATAGGTGCATTCTGACGCTTAGTTGTCTTAGTTATAACGTATTTTTAATTGTCAGCTGGTTTCTTATCTTTGCCTTTGTCCAGCACTGCATCTTGTTTACCTATTTTCGCTATTCCCATCAGCTTTTGCGGCCAGCTGGTTTGTATGATAGTATGCTGTGAAATATAGCTTGTGACTGGAATGGACAAAGTCATATCGGATACTTGTTTCTTGCGCCAATGTGTTGAAAAAGCGTCTCAAACAGATTTTACTATGTTAAAAAAGTAAGGCTCTGATCTGTGGCTTTATGACACTTGCTACTAGCAACCCGGAAGCTTTTCTCTGCGTTTCGCTTCACCTAAGTCACCTGAGGACATTATAACAAACATACTGACATTCACAAATCTCAACACTTCAACATAGTGGTAAGAAACTCTCGCATCAACCTGCAAATTGGCCATTCTAATAAGTATTGTGATTTTTAGCTTGAATTTAAGTTACACTAAGTATAATGTAATGCGAAATTAAACTTATATCACCCGCTCAAGATAAAGATTTGTTTCGTCTCCAGTGGACGGCCAGTGGGGAAAATGGGGTGAATGGAGCAACTGCCCGGTCAGTTGTGGAGGAGGGGAACAAATAAGGGTACGAAGCTGCAACAATCCTAAACCCAGTGGTGGTGGCAAAGATTGTGATGGAGAAGAAGAGGCGAAGAGAAAATGCGCGACTTTCGAGTGTGGACGTAAGTTTCTCTTTTTCTTTTTGCCTTTCGTCAGAATTTGTAACAACTTCATTTCAGCTGTTAAAGCCTTTTAATTATGATGTTCCAAGCTACAAGGTTCGAATTCCATTCTATTTTCTACACCATTTTAAATCGTATAGGAAGACGAGGTAGCTGTATGCCGTTTCAAAGTAAATATGTAATTGTCCTAATATACACCGTAGCATTCGCAAATAACGAGCACCATTCCATCAGAAACGATGGGCAAATCAGTCTTATTATAAGACTGACAAAATTGCTTTTAAAGTGCACTCGCCTGAAGGCGCGTTCAGTTTTGAGATAATTTCCAAATATCATTCGTAGTGTAAATCTCTAATTGCACTCGCATTCATACGATTACCTTTAGAAATAAATCTACTTCTTATTGTGAGTTTGGTCTACCTG